ACAAAAAAAAACCCCCTATCAACTTAGTTAATGAGGTCAATTCCTCCCCCCCCCCAAGTTAGACCTAGCCATGTATGGTAGGGGCAAGAGGGTGGATTCACTGATTCAAATCCCAGCTCTGCAACTTATTACCTGTGTGACCTAAAGCAAGTCATTTTATATCTCTGAGGCTCAGTTTCCCACCCATAAAATAAGAAACCTTCCTCTAACATAACATATAACAATCCCTCAATTACTTAAATTTCAAGAGTTGCTGTGCTCAATTATCTTCCCACCCTATAGCCACACCAGTGATGAGTGTATCTCTCCAAAATGAGCTAGGCTGATCTTCAAACAATAGACATGAGCTGATGAAGCACTGCATTACTGTGTAGATTATTATTCACCTTGTAATCTTCCAAATCACTAAGTAATATTGTTTGTTGTTACTGTTGTTTTGTTCAGATCTGTCATTTCATCTGTATAGGAAACTCCTGGTGAACCACTCTACCAATGCAAATGTGCTATTACTTTGCAAGTTTATGGTCACAGAGAGTTGATTGGGACATTACAAGACTGATTGACTTGCTGAACATTAGATAGCCAGCATGTGGCAGAAGTAGTGCTTAAAGCTAGGTCTTCCTGACTCCAAAGCCAGCTCTCTCAGTACTTGGCATGCTGCCTTTCAGCAATACTATTACACTTACTTAACTGCATTATAGATGAAAGTGAATTCGGAATTAAAACTTCTTCCACTCTGGAAAATTATGGAAATATTAAGTATAAAGGTATGAAGAAAATGAAGAGTAAAATTGAAGTCCTAATTCTTATTAAAGTTCTAAATATTATTTGAAGGTAGTATTTTGCAATTAGGCCATTAAAGCAATATATCCGATATCAACTTCTGGTGATGTTTAAAAATCATCATAAGCCTTCTGTAATTTACCACATTTTAATTCTGAAGATAGATTAAAAAGCTACACATTTGGCTTACAGTTTCCATTTGGTATTGTATAAAATTATTTAATGTTTTTTAAGAGAGACATTTATTTGAAGAAAAAAATTACTTCGCTAATATATTTAGAATATAGAACTTATTATATAGTTGTGTTATGGCACATGTAACTACTGAAACCCCCCCCCCCACTAAACCAGTTTATCTTGCCTTAGACTTTAGAAAGCAACTAAATATTGGAAATTATTAAACTCTGAAAAAGTGTAAAAGGTAGCAATTATATAAACATTAAGAGACCATAGCTGATTCAAAAGGTGAAGAGTTGTCTGTGGTGCTGAAATTTGACACCAAAACTGAATTTATTCAACCGATAAAAACTTCACTACCACATTTTTCCCCTTTTGTGCTTTACGTGAACAATATTTCTTTGTGATATTTAGCCTAAATTTCTGTTAAAGGCTTCAGTGATAGTTTTGAAACTTGATTCCCTGAGGCTCCCAATGAAGAGGCTAAGTTCTCATAATGCTTTGTTAGTAGCTTTACAACACTTTAAATACAAAACATTTGAAAAGCATTTATTCTCCCTCAATATGATATGAAATGCTATGCATGCAAGAGATCAGTATGGTAACCAAAATGAGAAGCTGTCAAAAATGACAGCTGGATATTTTAGACTATAAAAATAAATTCAAGATGAAGTTCTGAAAAAACAATTCACAAAATATTGATTTCCTATCACATAATATGCTAATATGTTTGGCAAATCAAAGAGGCTTCCTTATACCTTATATGGAAGTTAAACTTGGACCAATATGTGTAGGACATAAATCAGCAACACTGAATGTTGAGGCAAAAAAACATGTGATTAGCAGCCACCTGGAGAAAAGGGCAGCTAAGGATAGAGTGCCAGGCCTGGAGTCAGGAAGATTTTCCAGCCTCAGACACCTACTAGCTGTGTGACCTTGGGCAAGTCACTTAATCCTGTTTGCCTTAGTTCCTCATCTATAAAGTAAGCTGGAGAAGGAAATGGCAAACTGCTTCAGCCTCTGTGCCAAGAAAACCCCAAATGGGGTCAGAAAGAATTGGACATGATTGAATAACAATAACGGAAAGTGCGATGGACTTTTTCCCTATTATTAACAATGCAGATTTATATGCAATATTTTGCATACATTCTTGAACACATTCTAGAGTCAAAAGAAAATATCATGACACTTTTGTAGTTCCCTACTTTCTAACTTGGTGGACTCAAGTGCTTTTTTTTCTTCCTCTTTTCCTTCCTTCCTTCCTTCCTTCCTTCCTTCCTTCTTCCTTTCTTCCTTCCATCCTTCCTTCCTTCCATCCTTCATTCCTTATTACTAGCTGATATAAAAAAGCATCTCTTGGGAACTTAGGAAAAAATCTGATTTTTAAAAAAGACAGACATGATTTTCAGTTAAGAAAAAACACTCAAATAAAACATGAAATTTAAAAGCTGCATATCCATATTGGACACATAATAGTTGTATGACATTGTTTAGTACTTACTCTGAATTTACAAAAGGTTCATAATCTTGTGATTTGTGTCGCAAGTTTCAGATAAAATCCAAACTTATAAAAGCCTTTCCCAATCCTTAATGATAGTGCTTCCCTCTGCGGTTATCTACAATTTATGCTGAATATATGTTGTTTGTGCATAATTGTTTATATATTGCCTGTGAGCTCCATTTGGCACACAAAAAAAGCGCTTAATGTTTGTTGCCTTGACTTGACAGAAACAATAGAATATATTGAAGCGATTTCAATAGGAAAAAGGAAATGTTACCTTCTTGAAATGTTAGTGTCAATTTCATTAGGACAAACTGTCCTTCAGGAAGCTATTACATTTCAAGTAAGACAAATAAACTTCCCTAATTCTAGCAGAGTAACTTTTGCAAGTTTTAGTACTTAGGACTCTTTTAATATAGTATCAAAATTATTCATGGATGTATGATTAATATTGTGTCATCATGCTTAGGTTTCTGTATGGTTTTATTTTGCACACACAGAAAAGCAATAATCATAACAATTCAAACATTTTAGTTAGTAGGATACTTTTGCTATGGATAAATTAAACACATTGGCAAAATGCTCCTCATTGTTTCTTACAGTCTTCCCCAAGAACATATTAAGAACATAATAAGTCATGAAATGTAATGGTTACTTATGACCACGTCAAGTCTTTTGTGGCTGTAATTTAATGAAACTACTGTGCTTTAGGGCTGAAAGCAAAATGTTATGTGAATATGTTTGATGATAAAATATAATCACATGAACTATAGGGGAAGAAATCATTGGGAAGTGCAAGTCATTCTTAATCAAAATCTCAAAGTGAGAAAAAGTAGTTTTATATGCTACTGAAATCTTGTCTTTAATTCACCAAAATACTTGTGTAATTGAACTGAAAAAGAGAAGCATCATGTTTCAGCAACATGTGTTTTTTTTTGGGGGGGGAAGCATGCCTAATCACAAGAATAAGAGAAATACTCAATTTTAGAAATTACATCTTATAATGCTTTAAAACATAAAATATAATACTTTTTTCCTAATTAGAATAATCCACTGTGATACAACCTAGGAATAAAGAGCAAGCTCTAAAACCAATAAAGAAGTATGTCATTTAAACTCTGTGTGGTTATTGAGGTTGCTCTGCCAGTAAAGTTTCATTCATTCTTTGTACCTAACCTCTCTGTTCTCCCCTAACCCTATCTTCCAAATGTGACTTTCCTTTATTCCAGATACCTTGAGATTTTCAAGATTAATTCAAAACTAGCAGTGATGACATATTTCTCCTTGGCAGCTCCCACACTAATTTATATATGTGTGCATTTTAAAAAAATTATCTTGAATTTTTCACTTAGTGCATGTTTGTTAGATGGTAATTTAAAATAAATACTAATTTTTTCAGGTGAAAGTATTAATTGGCAGCCTAAATAAGAAGATAGCTCCCAAAGGAAAGTATTCATGAGCACAAATTTGAGGATTTGATGTTTAAGGCAAATATTTATAACAATGTCATAGAATTACAAGATATATTTATGTAGGAAACACTGGAAAGCAATCAAATCTCTCTAGTCCTTCAACATAAAAAGCACTCACTTCAAAACATCTGTGTGTAAATAATGAAACTGTGTTTACAATCTATAACTCTTTGGCCTTGTTTCATTGGTGTAGAAAACTCCCAGTGAGGAAAATTTCTCCTATGCCAATTAAAAACCACAGGTATACTGCAACTTATCACACAGAGTTGTCTGGGACACTGAGAAGTTATTTGACTTGCCCAGGGTCATACAATGTACATCAAGAGACAAAACTTGAACTCCTATCTTTCTGACTCCAACACTAAGCCAAATTTCCTCTCTATGGAAGCAACAATTTAAAGGAAGAAAGAATGTTCTATTATAATTTATAGAATACTCATTAACTAGACCAATGGCAGAAAAGTCAGATTGAAAAATGGTACTTAAATTTTTTTTAACTTTCCCCCCTTCTTTTAATACTTAGCTCACTGATAATTACTTTTGCTGTTTGTCCACTAGATGGCTATGATTACCCCTACATCTCCCTTCACACTTGAAAAAGAATAAAACAGATACAATTAATTAAAAAAAAATACAACACCACTTGATTATGAAGTGAAACAAGAAGACATCAAACATGCTAGGGTCATGAGAAGAAACAGAAACCCTAAAGGTTAGAGAAAAAGAGGAGGGTGAAGAGGAAGGGAAAGAGAAAGAACCTACTTTAATAACTTAAAGAATTGAATTCCTAGAGTCAAATTACCCAAGAAGTAGTTCTATTCCCTACATAGATATTTACAGCACTGTTGAGGAAAACGAGAAATGGTCTATTCAGTTTTTAAGCTGAAAATCACCATAATATTTCAAAACACTAAGCTTTTGTTTTTTAAGATCAGTTTACTCTCTTAGAATTTTAAGCTATGTCCTTGTAACCCTATTAGCCTCGGGTTTTTTTTAAGTCTGATTCATTAACTCAATTTTTACTAAGGAAGCGTTTCCATAATTCATAAAAACAGCATATTTGTTACCTGGATCTCCCTGGCGTGATACACAATAATAAGACCAAGCAGGATAATTGTGGAGAGGCTGATAAGGCATTTCAGAGCTAGGGAATACAGGGATGCCTGAAATAGAGACAACAAGAACTTTATATAAAAACCACATTAAAATGGTGTGTCAATTCACTGCCACCCCCTATAATTACACACGGACACAAGCAGTTTCTGCAATCATAGTGAACCCTCCCTGCCCTTCATTCTGCCTCTGGGACCACACAGAGACCAGGGTAATGAGGATAAAGAGGATAAGGTAGAAGGTGATCTCTGGGACCCAGCTATAGGTCCCAAAACTACAGAAGGATAACTGAACACGAGAAACGAGGAAGAAAAGTTACTACGGGCTTAAAGGTGGAGGGGAAAGGAAGCCAAGTCAGACACAGTGGCACAAAGTAGACCTCCCGTTGACCCTTAATTATTTATTTCCTTTGCAGGAATACCCTGGCACCTTGGGCAGCAGCAAGAGGCATTTCCAAAATGCTCCTTCGATCAGAATAAGCATCCTGAAGCAAAGAGCTCTAGGAAAGGAAGGGGCTGTGCAGGCCCAAGTGTCTTAGGGTCCCCACTCTTCCAAGCACAGACCCACCCCATATACGACTCTGCCTATCTAACCTGAGGAGTGTAAGGGGTTCAACGGGTGGAGTGGTTTAGTGCTTTTGTGTGCCCAGTCATCCTAGGATAAGAAGTAAGTGGGATGTGTTTGAGGCGGAAGAGTGTACCTTGTCGTAGGCGCCCCAGGACAACTCAGTCTCAATGACCATGACCACAATCCCGAACATGCCGAAGATGAGCGCGTAGTCGCTGAGCCGCTTTCTCTTCTCAAATAAGGCTCTCCGAAGGCCTAGCCTGTAACCTATGTTCTGGTTTTTCTTCTTGCTAGACTTGATCCCGCTGCTTCTCCCACCCCCACCTCCTCTATCTCCAGCACCAACACCCCCACCGCTCCCATACAGCGCTAGGTTGTTAGAGTTATTGTGCTCGGGTTTGGACACTACTATCTCCGGGGCTGAGGAAGAGGGGGCAGCAGGAGGAGGAGGAACGGCTGCAGCTGGGGAAGAGGACCTACAGCCACCAGAAGCTGAGGGCTGCAGGGGCTGAGACTCTGAGTCCATCTCATGCAGGTTCCTGCGGGAGGAGCTTAAGTTGCTGAGTGGACGCATCACTCCTCCGTTGTACCTGCAGCTGCTCATGGCTATTTCAGTGAAGGGGTTGCTTTCCCGGCGACCCTGCTGCAGCTGCTGCTGCTGCTGCTGGTGGTGGTGGTGATGGCGATTGTGGTGGAGGTGCCCGCTGCCACCGCCGCTGCTTCTGAGGCTGCTAGTGGGGCTGGCAGCCTGCTGCAAGCTGCACTGGTGGTATTGGGAAGAGTATTGGTACTGTGGGAACTGCTGCTGCTGTTTCCTGGGGACACTGGCATGGCTAGATGGATTCAACTCACTCACATTGAGCTGGCTGCCCCTCCGAGAAGAGCAGCAGCAGCAGGATGAGGTGGAAACAGGCGTGGAGTTGCGGGTTCCAAAAGCGCTGCCGGGTGATGAGGTGCGGAGTAGCAGAGGCAGATTATCCCCCACCCTTCCCCCCGCCACCTGGGCGCTGGAGGAGGCGCAGCTGTTGCACTGAAGGCATGAGCTACTGCCGCTACTACCCGGCTGCCACTGGTGTATCTGTGGCTGCTGCTGCTGCTGGTGGTGGTAGTAATGTTGTTGCTTTGAGTGCTGCTGGAAGGAGAGGCACGGTTTGTCTTGTGTCTGCTGCTGCGGCTGTTGGTGATTTTGCTGCTGCTGCTGCTGATCGGGAAAGAAGCCTCGCTGCAACTGCAATGGGGTTTCCATATCAGAACTGTTAAAGCTGCAGGGAGACCTGGCGGTGGTGCACCCTGCGCAATGCGTTATGGTAGAGAGAGGGGAGTCCTGCTGCTGGTGAGAGGAAGGGCCCATCCCGGCTCCTGTAGAATCCAGGAGGTGAGTCCTATTGGTCGGGCGTACCAAAACAACGGGCATGACATCACCTGCGGGTAAAGGAGAGAGAGTTGCAGTGCTAGGCTTTGAGGAGAGGAGGGGGAGGGGGGAGGAAGAAGAGTTAATGGAACTGGGTTGCGAAGAGGGGCGGGGAAGGAAGAGAGGAGGGATACCAGTGGTGCACCGCATCTCCAGTGAGAGGCAGCGAGAAGAGTGAGAAAGGTGGCTTAGAGCCCTGGCTCGGGTGGTTTCACTTGCTTAGGTATAGAGGCAGAGGGGAAACTAAGGGAGGGCCGGCGGTGCAGCGAGGAGAAACCCTCAGGAGTGGTTGCTGAGGCCTGGTAAGGATTACCACTTCACTAGCCTCTCTCCTAGAGAAGTGCAAGTTATGCAAGGAGCCACTCATCACCTGCTCCCATGTCTCCCCATCCTCATTCTTTGATTCAGCCAAACTGGTCTTCACTCGGTTCCTCACGTCCGTCACTCCATCTCCGGTCCCTGTGCCTTTGAACTGGCTATCCCATATGCCTGGAATGCACACACTCCTTACCTTAATCTAACAGTCTCTCTCTTTAAAATGCAGTTTAAGGACCATCTTCTGCATGAAACCTCTCTAAATCCCCTCAAAGTATAATGCCGTCCCTCTCAAATTAACTTGTATTAACTATTTTGTATAAATTTATATTTATCAACTTTTTACTTATGCTGTGTATATTTTGATATGTTAATTGCTCTCTCCATTAGAATGTAAGTTCTTGCTAGTAAGGAATTTATCTTTCTTTTACTTGTATGCTCAGCTCCTAGCCCAATGCCTGGTGCATAGTAGGCATTTAATATTTGTCGATTGACTGATTTCATTTACAATGCATTCTAGCTCCCAGAATTTCTTATCAGAAGGGGGAAGCCAGCAGCATCTTGGAAAAGGAGTTATGTATGTATGAATTGGGGTATGGAGTGGTGGGTAGATGGGAACCTCTTTATTTGGATCCTCTACTGACAAAACCAGACAAGATTTCTCCTTTTCCCTGCCCCTTCCCCCACCCCCATCCTATCTTAGGTCACGCTGCTGAAAAAGAGAAGCTTTCTGTCCTTAGCGATGTAGTTTTAGAAGTCATTGGAAAGGATACCAGATACTAGGTAGAAAAGTTTGGCCAGTGGTGGTGCCAAACCTCTTACATTTGCTGTAGCACCTATTGTGGCCACAGGTAAACTTGGTCCCTTGATTCAGGTCTTCTTCCGGCTGGGCTTTTGGTTAGGCGAAATTTCCCCCATCCCTAGCAGTCTCAGAACCAGTTTAGGTACCAGTCTTCAATGTGACTGACGAGGAAAGAATGGGAAAAGCTGACTGTGTCTCTAGCTGGTAGAGCTGAAGAGAGATTTGGGAATGGTAAGGAGGTCTCCAAGCAACTCTCCGGACCCCCTCTAAAACCCGTGATCCCGTAGAGGAGCGAAAGTACTTGGGCTGTGCTAGCCCAAGCGGAGGGGGCCGGGGCAGGATTCCCAACGCTAAACTGTAACTAAGAGAGAGAATCCTTACATTTACGCCTTTTTAGAAACATCAAGGAGGTGGTGCCCCAGGCCACTCAGTCCAGTTGCCCAGGCTTGAAGTGACTGCCTGCCTTCCTGAAGGATCCCTAGGTTTTTCCTGCGCTTGAGAAGACTGTGCCCATGTGGGGAACTGTCCAGGGAAGTAGATCTCAGTTTAGGCAGGATCCCAGTGATGTGGTCCTACCAGCTCCAGCTCCTCCTTTTCCCTTTCTGTTGGTCCCGCCTACCTGCAACACGGACACAAGAGAAGAACGAAATGGTTACTGTAGGGTTTTGAAGCTTCTCTCTGGCAAAACCTGGTTTTGATTGAGGGCAAAGCTACTGAGAGGGGCAAAGTGCCGACGAGCTACTAAAGAAGGGGTAGCCACACACCAGGTTATTGATAGTTTTAATAGTATTAACGCTTTCCACAACGAATAATAACTGGAGGTTTGGACTTTAATTATAAATAACTTGATATTGTAAATTTTCATTTTAAAAATTCCAAAATTTTATCTTCTCAGCCTGCTTGCTGCTTCCTGCTTCCATCAAGCTTCCTGAGGACATGCACTACCTTTTACCATTCTTTGGAGACTCAAAGTTTAGCACAGTGTCCAGGGAATAGTGAGCAATTAATAAATTCTTATTGACTGATCGACTGGTTTCTAAATGTGACAGTTCCTTGGCCCCTCTCCCAAACTTTCTTGTGAATTAACATTGTGGCTAAGTCAGATAGATGCAAAGTCCTGTATTGGCCTTTGGAAAATTTGCTTTGAAAACAGTGACTTTAAGCATGATGGAGATTTGTTTTAATGGATTGGCAAAAATAACCTGAGCAGAGGATCACTTTCATTAAGTAATTGAATTGCTAAGCTGGATCCAATTTCTTGATATTCTACTCTGCAACATCCCTAAAGTTGGTCACCTGCTGCCTGTTTCTCTCTCTCTGTGTTTTTCCAAGAGTATAAAGTGAATAATTCATTTTAGTAGATCCTTTAGCAAATGTAATATGTGAATTGAAGAATTGTTTTTTTTTTCTTTCTTGCATTTAATAAATGGTCAAAAGAATGTTTGGGGGATAGCCAACTATTCCCACTTATAAACTATCATTGACTATCAGAATTTCCCCCATAATATCTTGGTCCAAATTATGACAGCCACAATTTATTGGTGGAAATCCTTTGGCTATCCCCAATGCATACTTCTCAGATATTAGAACTCCCTGATCACATGAGAAATCTGATCCAGGAAATATCTTCTCCCTTATTATCTGATTAGAGCAAGTATGCTTTGTTAATTTCTAAGTGACAAATGTTATTGCGGCCATCTGCTTTCTGTACCTTCCTAACCAGAAGTTTCATTAGGAAACAACACTTATCTTTTGAAGGATTATTTTTAAGTCAAACTCATTTAGCCAGGAGATCAGATTCTGTATGCTACAATACTTTTTCTGCCCTTTCATTTTGAAAATCTATTGTGCAATGTTTTGGATCTATGAAAAGCCACAAGATCTTGGGTCAACTGAGTAAGCCCTGAATGCTGAATAAATGAAAAATTTAAATACCAGGAGTTTTTGTGTTAAATAACTTGTTTTTAAAAATAAAAGCATGTGAAAGGAGAAAAGATTTTCATACACATAGCCTATTTACATTCGGTTTAATGTTCCAATTAAGATAAAATTGGCACAGTATTCTTTCAATTATTCTATGTGCTTGAATAGAACCATCTCCAAAAAGCTGAATACTTCTGAGAGATGTTGTCTTGCTTAATTAACTAGTATTTTCTTAACTTTTCAGAGTCAAAGACGAAAGAGCTTGTAGAAATACAAAGAATCCTCATAATTATATCTTATAGTATTATAGTAGGCAGAATCTTCAGTATCTTATAAAGTTTCTCACGGAGAAGAATGACTTTTTCTTGGTGTCAGACAATTTCCAGAATGCTAGATGCAGGAGTTGTGAAAAATCTCTTTATTACACAGGATGGTAGTAGCCTCATTATATTTTGCCATCTATATTTTCCTATTATATTATAGGAATTATTGTTTTGCAATTAACCTAGAAGGAGGTGCTTGTTATTGTTTACTTTTATTGATAAGGCTTCATTAAAGTTCTGATCTGATTCCTCATCGTTGCAGGAAAATGATCCCGGGTTAAGGAAGACTATGCCAGTTCAACATAAACCCTGACGGTTCTGAAAAAAGCTTTGAATGCTACCAGGAAATTAATTGTTTATCTGTTGCCAAAACTAGCCCTACAGTCTTAAGGCTGGCCACTAAGTGGTGAGGGTATTTTTGTTATTGATGTTTGTTTCAACTGAAAACTCCTGAAGATCCTCTAGTAAGGTTAAAATTTGTGTTGGCTGCCCACGCCAATAAAATAATAGATTTTTGAAGTATTAAATATAAGTACCATATAGAGTTTTCATTAACCCTCAAAGAGAGTTTTGAAGACATAGGATGCAACATGTATACAAGAGAATAAGAAGATGGCATTATGGATTGCTAAAAAGAAAAAAAATAGAATTCAGACTTATTGTACCTTTAGCTCTTAATAACATCTCAGTTTCTTCATCTGTAAAGGGGATAGATTTTGACCAGATGATGTTTAATAACATCTGACTACTGTATATTTTAGAGATCTACTACTATAGTCTTAATGAGATGCTTACTGGTCTATTAATAACTTAGTGTTTCATTGCTTTATACTGTCATTATAACTTTGTTATACAGTAATGCATTACTTAAATATCTTAGTAATATATCATTGAGTATTGATAATATTATTAGATTGCAGTTTAGAAATGTTTATTTTCATTATTTCTATTTTCTGTCAACATAAGGTTGACAAATGAGAAATCTTTACAAAGTAATTGTCAGCACTATACAGCTTTCCATCTCTTTGTTCACTTACATTATTTTGTATCTATGTCATGTACATAATTTGTATGTGTATGTTTATGCTTGAGTATAAACAATATAGTTTCATAGATAATGCCTTACACATAATAGTAAATAAATATTTGAGGGAGACATAAAAAGGGAAGAATGAGAAAAGTGATATAATTAAGTTTCAGAAAATTAGATTTGCTTACTTGATCTTCCTAGTAAGGTATACAAAAGTATTGGAGTTTCCTCTTTCAACACAAGAGGTCATACTAATCCACAAAATGTATTCAAATCTAAAAAACCAGTAATTTCATTTACCATTCCTGGATATTAGGTTTTAAAAATTTGTTTTTTAATATATCAAGTCATTTACTTCTTCACATTTTTGCTTGTCTACACACCCATCTGTTACACTAAAACCACAGTAGCCTTTTTAAGAATACTTGGCTTGTACGAAGTGCTCTAGATGATCTGTGAGGAATACCCTGCTGCCTAAAAGCACTTCTCTGAGAGTCTCTGTCCTCAAGGAGCTTATATTTTACACAAATAAGCATAACACACATCCAAATAGAATTTCAGAAGTGGGTTAACAACTAACAAGTGAGAGAATCAAGAAAGGCCTCTTTTTGTAGGACATAGTACTTGAGCTGAGCCTTAAAGGGATATAAGGATTCCAAGAAATGAATGGGAAGAGAAGGGGCGTCAAGGTATCAGAGCAAAGGCATGGAGACCAAGAGGACGAAGAGCAGGGTATGGCAAACAGCACAAAACATAAATGTGGTTGGAAAAGAAATTACATGAGGTGGATGGAGTTAACTTTTCCCACCTCTACATTTTGAATATTTATATAGCAGAAACCTCTTATATGCAGTCCATTATTCATGTAGGTTTAGACATGCCACAGTTACTAACCATTTACCTTTAGGCAAATCAATCTTTCTGGACCTCAGTTTCTTCATCTGTAAAGGGGATAGATTTTGACCAGATGATATTTAATCTATAAATAATTCTAAATCATTCCTCCCACAATATAGCTGTAAGTCAGCTATAACACAATTAAGTATTAAGCCAAATATTAGCCCTGTCTCCCAAGAGAGAATTATATAGATATTCTACTATATTTGAAGAACTGATTGCAATAAACATTAAGTCCCTGTTCATTAATATTGACATAAAATATTGCTAGAGGGAGGCACGTATATGTTTTTATCCCCTTCTGCTAAATAAGAGTCCCACATAATATGGGACAGTTTTAAAATATAATGGTAAAGAGAATCTACTTTTTTTTTTTGCTATCCTTTGTCTTTGCTTTCATTCTCCCCACTGCCTCTTACACTCACCATTCATCTATGTATTACACATTTTAAGGAAATATGATCAGAATAGTGGTGGCCCAATCAAAAATGGCTAAATTGGAATTAAACACTGACAATAATCATAACTGTCATTACAAAAATGCAATATGATCACATCGATTCTTCACTCTCCAAAGCCCAGCTCAACTACTTTTTCTGTGACCACCCAGTTAGAAATGATTTTTCATCTAGCTGATTTCATAGGACTTCATATTCCTTTTGTGCATTTATAGTTCATTTTCTAATTTGTATTATGTATTTATAATTCACTTCCTTCTACTACTCTCAGCAGAGATCCTGATGTTCTGCATCTTTGTAATTCCCTAGCACCTAGCATAATACCTTGTACCTAAATTTTTTGTTACTGCTGAATGAATGAATGTTGTATATGTCATGGTTTTAATATTAGAAATGATATTTTAGAACTGGGGATTGTTATTGAATGGAAACATAGATTTTGGAGGGGGTTTCTTAATTTTATGTGAAAATAGTCATAGGTGGTATAAAGTGGCATAATATCAGTACATAAAACTAATAGAATCTCTAGTATTTTTCTTTGTCAAGTTTAAAAAATGCATCCTCAAGAGCTAGAACCTATTATGTTGCTATATAAGCGCTAACAACCATTCTAATACCTTCTGCCATGATCTGAATGACATAAGATTATAAGTGTAACTTCTATTCCTGTTTAGCAGTATTACGTTGTAGAAAGATTAATGAAAACAAATTGAATTTATTATCAAATAATCAAGATTCATGGTTCATGTTCAGAGGTGACAAAATATTTTCAAGTAAGAAAAATATTATTTGTAAACATCAAAGTTCTATATAAATACAAACACCATCACTATTACCTTAGTAACAACAGTAACAGCATTTATGTAGAGCATTAAGTGTTTTAGAAGTGTTATCCTATTTTATCTTTATAACAATCAGCTATTATTATTTCATTTGTACAGAGGTTAAATGACTTACCCAGCGCCACATAGCTGGATTTGTCTGGGGCAGGATTTGAGCTCAGGTCTTCTTGACTACAGGTCCAGTTCTATCTACTGAACCACCTCACTGCCTCAATCATGCACACTGAGGCAGTGAGGTTGATCAGTGCATAGAATACTACACCTGGAATTAGGAAAGACTTGACTTCAGATTTGGCCTCAGACAGTAGTTGTGTGACCTGGCAAGTCACTTAATCTAATTCTAATAAGTAATGTTGTTTTGAGGAACAAATGAGGTAATAAATTCAAAGAACTTTGAAAACCTTAAGGTACTATATAAATATCAGTTATTTTCTTGTACATTATCTGGAATTGGGCCTCAATTGAAATATCCTGGATAAATATCTATAATCATAAAATTTTCATATGTAATAATTTATCTCCTTATTTGCTACCAAAGAGTGATTATCCAAAAAAGGAAAGTTTTAATCTCTTGAAGCTACAATTAGGATATGGCACTTACCTCTTCTATTTGCTTTTCTCTTTTTATTGTCTATATGATTTTTGTTACTACTGAGTTCTCAAAAAAAAAAGCATTTGAGAGGAGTGAAAAAGTTCCAATCTGAATCATTGGTCTGTAAACATCTATAAACCAAAATGAGTCGACTGATATTGTAATCTTTGATTTGTCCAGGTATTGATGGATCTAGGAATCTATACATGACTAGAGCATGCCAGAGACTTCTCAGGCAGAATGGTACAATATGGCAGCCTTTAATTATTTTTCTTACATCTTTTATCCATCCCCATTTCAAGAGTTATGCTTTTAATTAATAAATTTTTAGTAAATATCAGAATGAATGAGCAAATGCTATACCACCTTAAGAATTCTGATTTTTATTTTAATTTTGCATGCCTTTTCCCTCTCATCTTATTAGGAGATACTTTCAAATTAAGCTACATAATCATCATTATCAATTTTTCTTCTTAAAATAAACTTCTTCACACCCTCTCAACATGCTTAAACCATCTGAAGCTGGCACAAGGGTACCCAGAACAACTATCCAGGGAGGGAAGGGACTTGGATGTCTCCCATTTCTCCCCAAACCTTCTTATCTGCTTTCCATATTTTTGATCAAGACTTTATTTATTTTTCTAAATCAGACCTGCATAACTTCTAAACTTCTTCAAGCTGCAGATAGGTTACACTAGAGACAGAATGATGATGGTTGGTTGCCACAGGTCACGTGACAAACAGGAGAGTACACAGTGGCAACTCTGCATTTTTTGTGGGCCACTCGAAATCCTTTGGTGGTCCACAGGTTGTGCAGGTCTATTCTAAATCTTTCAAACCCATTACTCAGACTACCCAACTTTCCTTTACATTTCAGCCATATCCCAGACTGCACCTACTATTGTTAAACCAACGTCTTGTTGAAACCCTGCTTTTCCAAGCTACAGAGTTAATTTCAACCTAGGGGTTTCTCTTCATTAATCTGCATAAACCTGCCACTGTCTTTTCCTAGTCATGATATAGGAAGAAGTTTGTGAAAGAATGCCAGACCACTCTCAGCCTTGGGTGATCTGACAGAAGAATCTGTCTCTAGCCAGGCTTGAGTAGAACACAGTGGGCATCCCTACTGTAGATTAAAATACTTGTTAGCTTGGATAGGGGCTGACCAGGATAAGGAGCTAGGCCATGTAGCTCAAATCTTATACTTGGATCTTATTATAATAACTCAGAGATGTTCCAGTATCAATCTGTTATTTAATAGATTTAGTATTGTGCTTACAAAAACTTCTTGATTATAGAAATTTGCTCTAGAAGAATAGGGACATAACTATATAGTAAGTATAGTAATGTTTCCCTAACTTCATGTCAATTCTAGCAAAAGTTATGCAGATGGCCAATTTCGTTGAGCCAGGCTTGGGGAAATTGAGTCAGGAGACTCCTACCTCAGCTCGTGTAAATAGTTGTTCTCCCAGTCTTTCCCATGAGAACACCCACTTGCACTTCATAGATGTAAAATCCCATAGGGTTGCTAGCACCATGGATCACAGGCTCAATAGCATTCCTTGATGATCATGCCTAGAGTCAGACTCAAGAATACTGTAGTTAAAAGTTAAAAAGCAAGTTCCAATAATCAGAGATTCAGGTGGGTTCAGCTCTCAAAGATCACATATCCTAGGTAATAAGTATTGAGCATAATCTCACATTGGTAATAATAAGGGATTCATCACAACTTCATATAACTAGTGCCTGTGCTAAGTAGATTTTTTTTCTCTTTCCAAGTTCAACATTACACAACTAATTTTGCTTTAAGATGCTTAATAACCAATAGAACACTTGGGATGTGTAAATATAATAATCCCAAATTATATAGAGAACAGATTTTATGAAACATTATCTATAGTAGAATTTGTTCAGTTTTAACCATGTTCAAATGAACACATAGATCACTACTCTCAGAATCCCTTTAAACAATGGTAACATCTTTAAGATGAGTCTTGAGTAGTTTGTATATATTGTTACTCATGTTCTACTTCTATCTTAAATAACAAACATAAGTAAAATCAGATTTCCCATTAAGATAACAAGGTAGCTGGTAAGTCACTACTCTTCACTAACATAACTGTACTGAAATCCTATTCCTTTAAACAAATAGAGATTCCTGACTTTAACCTCACAATTTAATAGAAGGATCTGGCAAGTGTACAAAATATGGGGAATCACAGGGACCAAGGGGCTGATCTGCCTGTCTACCCTGTGATATTTTCCTATGGACTGATGTAAATCACATACTTTCTGGAACTAATACAAAAGTTTACCAAGTTGAAATGATATTTTTTATTTGAAACTTGAAACAAACCCATTACAAATTAGGTGACTTTAGTCTTGTTGAATGCATGAACCAGCCTTTCCAAATTACTTTGTACGGAAAACCATTAATCTCATCATTAACATGTTGAAACCACAACTTTAAATCACCTTATATTTTAACAGTTTTCAAATTATCTAATTTTCATTACATCCTTGTGAAAGCCCAAAATTGCCCCTATCTTAAGAGCCCACTGTCCAACCCCCTTGTTGGACTCCCCAACACTTGCTACTGTGTGGAGCCCAGTTGTAATTTCTTTGCCCCATCCAAGCATCATAATTTTTGCTATATTGGCTGCTTTTTCCTTAATTCAGGTTGACATAAATGGAGGTTCTGCTGAAATTTGAAAACTTCTGCCCTGTGGGCCCCATCTTTGACCTGGATGCTTGGTACAGCAGTGAACCCTTTGTATTCCAGTCCCAGATTTTGAGGCCAGGCCTGGGTGAGTAGGTCTCGTGAATCCTGAACTTGTGTCTCTTTGCTTGAGTTCCTAGGGCTCTTGAGTCAGGGGTTTGTTTGATGCCCGTGGGTAACTTGGTAACTTGGGTCTGCTCTGACAGGGTCCCCTAAAGAGGGGTCTGGGGTTTGTGATTATGGACCATGTGTCCACTCCCAACAGATCCAAAATGGATGGCTGATGGGGTCTGTTTTCAAATTATGGACTGTGTACTTATAAGTACGTGGACAATTGGCAGTATTTAACCAAGTCGGACCCTTTGATATTCTTTTGGTCACAACAAAATTTTTGCAGTTTACCCTTGATTTCAGTGGCCCAAAGATTGAAGGCACAGAGTGGGATGCCTTTTCCCAATGGCTCCAAACAAGAACCTGAATCTGAACTCTCCTCCCTTCAAGGATATATCCAGCAATTGAGATCAGGAAAAAGAAATATTGAGGGTAAGGTTTGTGATCTTCAGGAGGAGGTCTCCAAATTAAAGAAGGAGAAGGAAGAAATCAAAAGTTAGGTAGTAGATCTTAAAGAGGCCCTGAGACTGACCTCCACTTTCTCCTTGGCCTTTAGATCTTCCCCTTGTAGGCGAGCTCCAAGCTCTAGTAGTGATGAGGTATGGGTTTCTACTGTAAAAAGTCAGGCTATTGGAAGAAAAATTGCCACCGGCTACAGTACAAGTGCTGCCTCATCCCTTCATTGACAAGCCCCCACTTCCCCACCCCCTTAAAAAAAAAAGGACCAATTAATCTAGCTCAAATTGATGTGGCTCTGAGGAGACTAAATTATGTTAAGAAGCTTTACCACTAATATATACTGCCTTTGTGTCTGTCTTTGTGGACTGCTATTTGTGTTAAAGTATGCTGTGTTGTGTATGTGTGTGTGTGTCCCTGATTATGAGGCAAGCTTCTTTTTTTTTCTCCCTGTCTTGAACCCCGAACGAGAGAAGATGAGGAGAGTGTGGGAGTCAATAGCCAGATGCTTCCTTTCCCCTCCCCAGCCAATTAATTTGAATAAGTCCCTTACCTTTGCACTTAGCTATGTAATTCCTTCTGCAGCTCAAAGCAGAATTGTCAGAAAGGTAATATGGTGACTACAGCTTGATTCTTTTTCACCTGCTTTTAAGAAATTTGTTAAAACTTTAACTGGTAATTGACCTCGAGTATTAGAAATTGTAAATCCACATTTACTTGAACTGCAAAGTTAAGGTTTATAGATTATGTGCGATATGAATCTAGGAAACTGGTTTCTTAGCAGAATTTTAAGCTGAGAATTGTCACTATGTGTATTAAAAATGAATTTATTGCTAATAATGAACTCTTTTTTGAAATGCTAACAGTAGATAGGCATCAGATAAATTGGGAATAATACCATTTGGAAATACAGATCCAGGTGTGATTAAATTTATTCTGGCCTTCTTATTTTATGTGAAATATGTCTCTCCTAATAAGATGCTTTTGATAAGTCAGGCGTTATTGTGCTGTTTGGCATTAAGACAAAGGGTTAAAAAATTGCTTGGGTTTGGAAATTTGTTAATTGTGTGATATTAAAACAAGTTACCTCAGTTTAACAATCTATAATGTGGATATTTGATAATTTTAGATCAGTATTCTTTGGGGTTATAGATTAAATTGTTATAGATTCTATTTTTAAAAGGATGATGTTAAATACTTGAAACTGCTCATTTAGAAATGCAATAGATATTTATGATGTTGGGTTTTTTTGCTGTGAATTTGAAATGGTAGGAATATCTTTAAGATGTCCCCATCTGTGAAAATCAGAGTCCTAGGATTTTGCCAGCCCTGCTAATCATTTAAGTATAGTGGTTTGATTTTAGGTGAGAACTAAAAGTTACAAAGATGACAAATTCTCATCATACTATATTGCCCTAAGAGTTCTGAAGCCTTACTGGCTTAGCCTAATACAAATGAAGTTAGATGGGCATGTAGTGGTTGTGCCTACCCACCTTAGCACTGGGCCTTGCCCATATCATACATCGTTTGACCTGGCTTTTTAAAGCCTATGTTTCTTAGTACTATTTGGGCATGGTTATGAGTTTTCACCAGCTCTGTTACTGATATGGTATAAGGTTTCATAATGAGAACTGCAAAATTCTGAGGCGGAAGAACTATGGGAAAGTTTACAAATCAGCTTACAATTAAGAAAGTAAGCCCCACCTACATTTATTTGGCTGTATTAAAGTCAAATCTTAAACTTAGTTGCAAAGCCTCTAAGCCTATAGAGCCCAAATGCTCTTCAGGAGCTTTGGAGTGTGGCCATCACAGAACTTACAAAAGCGTGGGTACCATATTGGCTAGGCCATACTGGCTTCTGTAAGCTTCTCATTTTAAGAATTGAGGGGAAAGGTAGCCCCAGGCATTTTGCCTTCTGCCCAACCCTTGACTTATTGCTTTGAGGCTGAAAAGCTTTCCCATATCTGCTAAAACTCCAAAATGTGGTTGCTGAGGAAATGAGATCACTCTTTATTGATGTCTTTTATATGTTAATTTAAAGCCTTGGTCTGAGGAAGAGAAAGACTAAGCTGAATGGCTTCTAGGTAGAATCAAAACCTGGGAATCAGAACAAGGTTATCAGGTGTGGAGACCCTGATGGTCTTGAAGCCTGAAGAGGCAGCATAGAGAAGTGATCCCCAAATCAGGAACCCCTGGATTCAAGTCTCTCCTCTGAGATACTCCCCTGAGCATAATTACTGTGTGACCCTGGTCAAATCTCTCATAATAGCAAGAAATTTTTTTGTTTTTAAATCTGAAAACTGGAGGCTTCAGTAATAGGCCAGGGAAACTTTTGTTCCACTTAGCCTTGGTGTTATGTTTGACAGTTTTTCTCAATAGCCCTATTAATCGTAACCTTAATTTCTTAATCTAAAGTCAGATGAACACATATCTAAATTTCTGAGGACAAAATTTGGATTTGGAGCAATAGGAGATTTTAGTGCAAGACTGTATCTATGTAAAGAAGCTTTTGGTCGCCTTCCCTTTAATACACTGGAAAGGCTCACATACTTTCCTCTTTTATGGGGATATGTTTGTTCTTTTCATTATGGTGATAGTGGCTGTTGTTGCTCCATGAAAACTCATTGATTCTACCAATGTGCAGTCCATGGATAATAAGGGAAAATGTACAGTTGTATTGAAACCTGGAATAGCCTACACCTCAGTGTCCTCCATTCTTTTTGTAGGCTGGCATTTAATACACATCACATTTGTATGTTTGCATCATTTGGCTTAGGCAGCAGTGATATGCAGGAGCTACTTTTTAAAACTGGTCCATCTCTACACACTAAAGAGGAGGAAAAGGTTGAGGCATTCATTATCAGTATTAACACTCATATTCTGGTCAGGAATGATGGCAGAACTCTATGACCCAGACACAGTGGAGCTTCTAGGAAGACTGTATTTGCTGAAAGCAAGCAATTGTTAGCCAAGTCAAAATGTACTCTTGGAGGCCCTTAACCATTTAGCCACACTAGGGAGATAAGGGACTGAAAGAGGGAACAGAGGGGACAGAGGAGGTTTATCAGATATATTCAAAGAGATCTCCAAAAGGAAGTCAACAAACTTAGAGTTCAAGGTAAAAGAATTTCACTGGAGAGGCCAATAAGCCCTCTAGAGGTTAACACTAGTCTTGATGTTTTTGAAAGTATTTTACATAAACTGTCTTTTTCTTTTTTCTCTAGCCTTTTCCACTGCTGTTCATCTTGTTGAGTATAAGCAGGTTTTTAACAATGACCTGGAACTTTGTTGTTTGAGCTGTTTCCAATGTGGGGGAAATATGAAATCAGCTTAGGGTTGGCTTAGGTTTGAATTTTATTGAACTGAAACAAGTGACTTTGTAACCAAATCAGTGAATAATGTTCTTACAATTACATGCTATTGAAATATTACATACACTAATAATAGTGCAGTAGTTAAAAACAAAGTTAACTTTTCTCTTTTTTTTGGTAAACTTCACAGGCATTTAAAGTTTTCATGTTCCTAGTATTCAAATATTATGATGGCTTTGTGTATTTATTTGATACTTTTTTTTCATTGATTTATACTTGAGCAAGTTTTGTTTCATGACAGGATATTCAGCTGGAATTTGTCTTAGTACTGTCTGGCATTTTTGTTTTAAAGCACATTTATGCTGTTTTAACCTTTTTTTCTTTCCACTAATATTATTTTGTTTTATTGCCAGATTTATAAACTTTGGTAACCTGTGTTCTGTTTTTTTTTAGCTTATATATATATATATATTATATATATATAATATATATAAATTATGACTTAGTTTTTAACTACTTTTTAAATGTTGTCCCAACTATGTTACTATTATGGTATTTTTAGGCAATAACAGTGTTGGCAAATCATTCCATGGTAACAAATATTTTCAAGGAAAATGTAAAATGCCAGGAAAAAAAGTATGCTGGACAAAGCTCACTTATTCTTATTCTTTCCAAGACACTGTGACTGTCTACTTAGAATTTTTCTAATTCTCTAAAAGACAGATGTCCCAAATATTACCTGGACATTTCAGAGCTAGAGTCAGAGCTCTTCTCTTAATCCTTTTGCCCCATTGCCACTCTCCCATCTCCAAGGTTTCCCTTCTATCCTACTGTCAGAGTCACTCAAAACTTTTTGAGAACTTAATCTTCTTATTTCTCAGTCATTTTCTAGGAACGCAGCCCTGGACCAGTCTACTTTGCAGCTGGAACACAGAGACTAAGTATTGGAAAAGACACCTGTCCAAGGATACCCTGTAGCCCAGCTCATCAAACTCCTTGATGTTTCTTTTGGTCAGCTACGAAATTCCAGATTTCATCTTGACCAAGAGAAGTAGATTTCAAATGCAGCTGAAACTGAACCTTGTCCTCTTTTCCCAGACCCACAAATTGCTTGAGACTGACCACACATTATCACTCCCAGCCTCTGACTATTTTGTAAATGTCCTAGACTCTCCTCCCTGGGATTCCCAAGCTTTCTCGATGAAGTATCAGTTGTTGTGTAAGTGAAACAACTTATCTGGTGAACCTATGGAATGTCTCAAACTGCTGCACCTGTAGCTCCTCTCCCTTTGCCGTATTACTTTATAAGAACCCTATCCACAGCCTACTCTTTGGGCTCCCCAGCACTTGCTGCTGTGTGGAACCCCAGTTGCAATTTCCTTGCCTTTTGCTATATTGGCTACTTTCTCTTTAATTCAGGTTGACAAAAATAACACAATAATAATAGGAAACTTTAATATCCCCTTCTCAATTTTGGTAAGTCAAATAGCAAAAAGAAAAATGTGGATCTGAACAGATTGCTAGAGTATCTAGAACCAAAAGACTTATGGCATCTTCTAAATGGTTTGCAAAAGAATATAGGTATTTCTTAGTACCATATGGAAATTTTATAAAAAAAAAACCTGTATGATGGCACAGAGATATTGCAAACAAATATAAAAAAGCAGAAATAATAAATACATCCTTTACAGATCATAATATAATTAAAAGCCATTGTTTCAGGGACCATGTACAAAATACAGAGACCCAAATATAAACATAGCAATGAAATTCTAAATAATGAGTGGGTCAGGAAACAAATCATAGAAACAATAATTATGTGAAAGAAATAATAATGATGAAGCAATATGCCAAAATTTGAGGGATATAGCTAAAGCCAACATTGGAGTAAAATACATATCCATACAAACATCACCAATATGGAAAAAGAGAAGATTAGTAAACTGAACACTAACTTAAAAATTAGAAAGCCAAGAAACAAAGAAAACTAAAATAAGCAGAAAAGAGAAGATATTAAAAATTAAAAGAGGAATAGATAAGTCGGAAATAAGAAATACATTAAATGATGAATAAAACTAAACACTGATTCTCTGAAAAGATGAATAAAGTTAATCAATTTTAGCGAATCTGATTAAAAAGAAGGGGCAGAAAATTATCAACAACAACTTAATATGAAGTTATATGCTAACAAAACTGAGAACAAACAAGAAGCAGAGGAATACTTTAAAAAATGTAAAATATCTAAACTGTCACAAGACCAGAGAGAGATCTTATATGACCTAATCTCAGAAAAGGCGATACATCTAGCTACAAAGGAATTACCAAGACAGGAGAAAAACCTAACAACTCCTGGTACTGATGGATTCACAGGAGAATTCTGTCAAATTTTTAAAGAAAAAATTATTGTAAACTATTCTCAAAAACTCAAAAAGGAAGCACCCTCCCAGAATCTTTTTATGAGACAAATATAGTCCTAATACCTGAGGATGGAAAGATACAACACAGAAGGAAAACTGTAAGCTAATATCATTCATCAATATTGACTCAAAAATTTTAAACATGACTTCAGGTGCCAAGATGGTACAGTGAGGAAGAAACCCTCTGAAGCTGTTCCAGATTCTTCTCCAAGCAACTAGAAAACTGCCTCAGAATTGATCTAGGAGCAGGGAAGCTGAAGGTCTGTCTCACTGGGAGAGGGGAGCAAGGTGGAAGAGCAGCAGCAGCCCCAGGCAGCCTCACAGCAGGGGGCCTGAAGCAAGGCTCCAAGCCTGGGGCCATCCATCCTTAAGGCTCCACCCTCCTGCAAACCAGCCCCACATCAAGACCCCACTCCTGCAACCCCATCCCCAGCTCAAGCCACCAGCAAGGCCTTGACCCCATTGCTGACTGGTCCTAAAGCCCCACAACATGATGGGCCAACAAGACTTCACCCTGAGCCTTACCAGCAGAGAGGCCCTGTTCCCATAGCAACCCAGTAGCAGGGCCCCACCCTTGGAGCCAATTAGCAATAAGCTCCCTTCTCCAGGGCCAGCTACCAGAAAAACTGTTACCATAGCAACCCAGCAGCAAGTCCCCACCCTAGGGGCAGGCAAGCAGCTAAACCCTACACCCAGAGGAGTCCAACAGGAAGGCCCGACCCCCCTAATACAAGTCAGAAGGGAAGTCTACCCTCCAGAGAAAGCAAAAAGCTAAGCCCTGAAGCCCAGTGAAAGCCAGCAGTAAGACCTAGAGCCCCAGCCTAAAAAAAGCTTGGGACAGTGCAAGATCAGAGTCTTCTCACATGAAAACACCAAGTCACAAAAAAGGCAGAAAAATGAGTTAAAAACAAAGAAGAGCTTCACTATAGAAAGTTACTATGGTAATAGGGATGATGATCAAAGCATAAACTTAGAAAAGGACAAGAGTATCAAAATGGCTATGTGTGAAGCCTCAAAGAAAAATGTAATTTGGTCTCTGGACCAAAAAAGAATTCCTGGAAGAGCTTAAAAAGGATTTTAAAAAGCAAGTTATAGAAGCAGAAGAAAAACTGGCAAAGAAATGAGAATAATGCAAGCAAATCGTGAAAGAAGAGTCAATAACATGGGAAAAAATATGCAAAAATTTATCAAGGAAAATAACCCCCTAAAAATAGAATTGGCCAAATGGAAAAGAAAGTATGAAAGCTCCCTAAAGAAAATAATTCCTTAAAAATTAGAACTGAACAAGTGGAAACTAATAAATCTATGAGACTTAAGAATATAATAAAATAAAATTTAAAAAGTAAAAAAAAAATAGGAGAAAATGTAAAATTCCTCATTGGAAAAACAATTGACCTAGAAAATAGATCCAGGAGAGGTAATTTAAGAATTATTGGACTACCTGAAAGCTATGATAACAAAATTTAAAAGCCTGGACAACCATTTTTCAAGAATTTATCAAAGAAAACTGCCCTGATATATTACAACCAGAGGGCGAAATAGACTTTGAAAGAATCCACTAATCACCACCTAAAAGAGATCCCAAAAGGAAAACTCCCAGGAACATCATAGTCAAATTCCAGAGCTCACAGATAAGGAGGAAGTATTGCAAGCGGCCAAAAGGAAAAAAAACCTCTCAAATATCATAGGGCTACAGTCAGGATTACACAGGATTTGGCAGCTTCCACATTAAAGAACTGGAAGGCTTGGACTATGATATATAAGAAGGCAAAGAAATTAGTTTTACAACCAAGAATCACTTATACAGCAAAATTGAATGTAGTCTTTCAGGAGAAAAAAATGGATATTAAATGAAATAGAGGACTTTCAAGAATTTCTAATTAAAAGACCAGAGCTGAGTAAAAAAATCTGACCTCCAAATACGAGACTCAAGGGAAATATAAAATGGAAAAAAAAAAGAAACAAGAAAGAGAAAATGAAAGAAATTCAGTAAGGTTAAACTATTTATATTCCTATATGACAAGTTGATATTTGTAACTCAACAATAATAAGATCAACTAGAAGGAGTATATATAGACAGAAGATGGGAATATAAGTGACTTTGATGGGATGATATCCCTCCCCCCCAAAATAAAGGGGTAAGAAAGAAAATTGCACTGGAAGAAGGAGGGGGGAGATTGAATGGGGTAAATTATCCCACATAAAAGAGGCATAAAAGAGCTATTATAATGGAAGGGAATATGGAAGTGGGGGGGGTTGGCAGGCAAAACTTAAACCTTATTCTCTTCAAAATTGGCTCAAAGAAGGAATAATATACACATTCAGTTGGATATAGAAATCTATCTTGCCATATAAAGAAGTGGGACTGATAAAAGGAAGGGTATGTTGGTGAAGGCAGTGATTAGAAGTAAACACTTGCGAGGAAGGAAAGGGTTGGGGGTAAGGGAGAGGATAAGCAATAGCAAGGAGGGAAATGCACAGTTAGCTATAATAACTATAAATGTGAATGAGATGAACTCACCCATAAAATGAAGGCAGATAGCACAGTGGATTAAAAACCAGAATCCCACGATATGTTGTTTACGAGAAACACAGTTGAAGCAAAGAGATGCAAGGTAAAGGTAAGGGCCTGGAGTAACATCTGTTGTGTTTCAGCTGAAGCAAAGAAAGCAGGGGAAGCATTCTTGATCTCAAACCAAAAGCAAAAAAGAGATCTAATTAAAAGAGATAAAAAAGGAAATTATATCTTGCTGAAAGGTACTGTAGACAATGGACTGGTGTCAATATTAAACACCAATATTATACATCAAATGGCATAGCATCTAAATTTTTGAAAGAGAAGTTGAATGAGTTACAGGAAGAAATAGATAATAAAACTATACTAGTGGGGGACCTCAACTTTTCCCCTCTCAGAACTAGATAAATCTATAAAAAAAAAAAAAAGAAAGAATTTAAGAAGGTGAATAAAATTCTGGAAAATCTAGATATGATAGATCTCTGGAGAAATGTGAATAGTAATAGAAAGGAATATACCTTTTTCTCAGCAGCACATGGCACCCACACAAAAATTGACCCTGTATTAGGACATAAAAACCTTACAGCCAAATGCAGAAAAGCAGAAATATCAAATGCCTCCTTTTTAGATCATAATGCAATAAAAATTACGTTCAATAATGGACAATGGAAAGAGAAATTTAAAATTAATTGTAAATTAAGTAATCTAATCCTAAAAAATAAGTGGGTCAAAGAACAAATCATAGAAACAGTTGATAATTTCATTAAAGAAAATGACAACAATGAGATAACATACCAAAATTTATGGGATGCAGCCAAAATGGTACTTGGGAAAATTTATATCTCTAATTGCTTAAATCAACAAAATAGAGAAAGAGCAGATCATTGAATTGGGCATGTAATTTAAAAAAAAAACTAGAAAATCAAAGGAGAGATTAATTAAAATTGAAACTAAGGAAACCATTGAACTTCTAAATGAAACTAGAACCTGGTTTTATGAAAAAAAAATAGATAAACCATTGGTTAATTTGATTTAAAAAAAGGAAAGAAGAAAACTAAATTGCTAGTATCAAAAATGAAAGGGGGTGAATTCACCACCAATGAAGAGGAAATTAAGACAATTGTTGGGAGCTATTTTGTCCAATTATATGGGAATGAATTTGACAATCTAAATGAAATGGATGAATATTTACAAAAATATGAACTACCCAGATTAACAGAAGAAGAAATAAAATACTTAAACAACTCATTCTCAGAAAAAAAAATGAACAACCCATCAATGAACTTCCTAAGAAAAAATTCCCAGGACCAGATGTGAATTCTACCAAATATTTAAAGAACAATTAATCCCAATACTATATAAACTATTTAGTAAAATAGGCAAAGAAGGAGTCCTACCAAATTCCTTTTATGACACAAATATGGTGCTTATACCTAAACCAGGAGGATCCAAAACAGGGAAAGAAAATTATAGACCAATTTCCCTAAGGAATATTGATGCAAAAAAATTAAATACTCTCAAAGAGATTGAAACAATATACCACAAGGATCATATACTATAACCAGGTGGGATTTATACAAGGAATGTAGGGCTGGTTCAATATTAGGAAAACTATCAGCATAATTGATCATATCAATAACAAAACCAACAGAAATCATATGATTATCTCGATAGATTTAGAAAAATCCTTTGACAAAATATAGTGCCCATTCCTTTTAAAAAACACTAGACAGCATAGGAATAAATGGAGCTTACCTTAAAATGATAAGTAATATTTATCTAAAATCATCAGGAAGCATTACCTAAAATAGGGACAAACTAGAAGCCTTCCCAATACAATTAAAGGTGAAGCGGGGCAGGTAGCGCAGTGGATAGAGCTTCAGCCCTGAAGTCAGGAGGACCTGAGTTCAAATCCAGCCTCAGGCCAAACACTTGACACTAGCTGTGTGACCCTGGGCAAGTCACTTAACCCCAATTACCTAAAAAAAATCAGGGGTGAAGCAAGGATGCCCATTATCAGCTCTGTTATTTAACATTGTGCTAGAAATGTTAACTATAGCAATGAAAGATGAAAAATAAAGGAATTAGAATAGGCAAAGAGGAAACAAGACTATCACTCTTTGCAGATGATATGATATTATACTTAGAAAATCCTAGAGAATCAATTAAAAAACTACTTGAAATTATCAACATCTTTAGCAAAGTTGCAGGATACAAAACAAACCCACATAAATCATCAGCATTTCTACATATTACCAACAAAGTCCAGCAGCAAGAGATAGAAAGAGAAATTCCATTTAAAAAAACTGAGACAGTTGGGTGTCTACTTGCCAAGACAAACTCAGGAACTATATGAACACAACTACAAATCACTTTTCACACAAATAAAGTGAGGTCTAAACAATTAGAAAAATATTAATTGTTCATGGGTAGGCCAAGTCAATATAATAAAAATGACAATCTATCTAAATTAATGTATTTATTCAGTACTATACCAAACTATCAAAAATTATAGAGTAAGAAAAATAATAACAAAATTCATCTGGAAGAACAAAAGCTCAAAGATATCAAGGGAATCAATGAAAAAAAATGGGAAAGGAGGTGGTCTAGCTGTACCAAATTTCAAACTGAAAGCAGTAATTATCAAAACAAACTGGTACTGACAAAGAAATAGAGAGGTGGATTAGTGGAATAGGTTAGGTACAAATTACATTATAGTAAATGACCATAGTAATCTAGTATGTGATAAACACAAAGATCCAAGCTTTTGGAACAAAAACATTATTTGACAAAAACTGCTGGGAAAACAGTATGGTGAAAACTAGGTATAGGGCAACATCTCACCACCATATACCAAGATAAGGTCAAAATGGGTGTATGATTTACGTATAAAGGGTGATACCATAAGCAAATTAAGAGTGCATAGAATAGTTTCTCTGTCAGATTTATGGATAAATTCTTATTTGTGGATAAATATCCTAAGTTCTTTAGGACCAAAGAAGATATAGAGAGCATTACAAAATGTAAAATAGGTAGACAAAGAAAGCTATTTACAGTCATATGAAAAAATGCTCTAGATCACTGTTGATCAGAAAAATGCAAATTAAAACAGTTCTGAGGTACCACTTCACACCTATCAGAGTGGTTAATATGACAAAAAAGGAAAATGTTAGATGTTAGAGGGGATGTGGGAAAACTGGGACACCAATGCACTGCTGGTGGAGTTGTGAACTGATCTAACCATTCTGAAGAGCAACTTTGAACTATGACCAGAGGGCTATAAAACTGTGCATACCTTTTGATCCAGCAATACCACTGCTAGGTCTATGTCCTGAGACATCCAAAAAAAGGGAAAAGGACCTGTTTGTGCAAAAATATTTATAGCAGCTCTTTGTGTGGTGCCTAAGAATTGGAAATCAAAGGGATGCCCATCAATTGGGGAATGGCTAAACAAGCTATGGTATGTGATTGTAATGGAATATTATTGTGCTATAAGAAATAACAAGCAGGATGATTTCAGAAAAACATGGAAAGACTTACATGAACTGATGAATAATGAAATGAACAGAACCAGGAGAATGTTGTACACAGTAAAAGCAATATTGTTTTATGAAGAATTGTGAATAACTTAGCTATTTTCAGCAATACAATGATCCAAGACAATTCCAAAGGACCGTTGATGAAGCATGCTGTCTGCCTCGAGAGAAAGAAACAATACGGTCTGAAT